TTCCTAAAAGAAAGACAAATGGTATAAGGAATTAAGCACAAGACTTCACCTGTTAAGCAAGCATTTGATCATTGAACTACAATCCCAGTGCTTATCTTTTTCTTTTTCATTCTGTGAGACAAGATCTAGGTTGCCCAAGCTAGCCCTGAGCCTAAGCAGTCATTGAATCTGCTCTCCTTCTAACTCTGCCTCCCTTGTTCTGAGATGACAGGTCTCACCCCTAGAGGCTGGTTTAAATGTGTATTTCTTTGGGTTTCTGTTTTATTTTGTATTTATTTATTTGTCTGTTTGTTTGGTTGGTTTTTTGAGAAAGGGTTTCTCTTTGTAATAGCCCTGGCTGTCCTTAACTCCCTCTGTAGACCAGGCTGGCCTCAAACTCAAACCTGCCTCTGCCTCTGGAGTGCTGGGATTACAGGTTTGTTTTATTATTTTTTAATAATACAACTTTCTTAAATGATTTCTATTTTTATGTGTATTGGTGTTTTGCCTGCATGTGTGTGTGTGTCTGAGAGTTGTCGGATCCCCTGAAACTGGAGTTACAGACAGGTATGAGCTACCATATATTAGGAATTGAACCAGAGTCCTCTGGAAGAACACTCAGTGTTCTTAACCACGAGCCATCTCTCCAGCCTTTGTTTTCTTCTTCTTCCTCCTCCTCCTCTTCTTCTTTTGTTTGTTTGTTTTCTGTTTGTTTTCCAAGACGGTTTCTCTGTGGCTGTGAAAGCTGTCCTGGAATTAGCTCTTGTAGACCAGGCTGGCCTCGAACTCACAGAGATCTGCCTGCCTCTGCCTCTCTAGTGCTGGGACTAAAGGCATATGCCACCACCGCCAGGCTGTTTTCTTCCTTTTTAGGATTCTTTTTTATTTGCATTGGTGTTTTACCTGAATTTATTTTTGGATGAGGGTGTCAGATCCCCTGGAACTGGAATTAGAGACAGTTGTGAGCTGTCACCTGAGTTCTCGGACCTGAACCCAGATCCTCTGGAAGAGCAACCAGTGCTCTTAACCAGTGAGCTATCACTCCAGCCCCCAATGTATAGCCCAAGTTGGTCTCAAAACCCTTCTTCTGCCTCCCAACAAATCCTACTGTCAAACACCAGACAACTGGCTTGTTTTATTCTTGAATTGAGGTCTCATTGCACAGCATAAATAGCCTCAAGCTTTCAGTGTTCCTCCTACCTCTGTTTCCTGAAGAGTAGAATTGCAGGTATGCTCCAACACACCTACCCTGGCTAAATTTTTCTTTTTATAAAATATCCACTGTACAGTAACTAAAATTCAACTTTCTTTTTGCATGTATGCCTGCAGGCCAGAAGAGGGCTCCCGATCTCCTTATAAGATGTTTATAAGTCACCCTGTGGTTTCTTGGGATCTCTGGAAGAGCAGCCAGTGCCCTTCATCTCTGAGCCCTAAAAGACGATTTTCTGCTACAACGTTTTGATGAATTAAAAAGTAAAGACAGAGGACTTCCAGTTGCAATTTTTCTTTTCAAAAGTCCCCCCTAGTGGGGAGTGGGGTACATCTACTATTGAGAATCCTTAGCCATTTACATCACCTGTTATCAATGTCAAATCTTAGAAGTTATGACTCAACAACTTATTTTCCTGACATATTGCCAATCAATTAGTAACCTGTGTTGTAATGCCTATACCATTCATCTCACTTCATCTCTTCATATAGTCATTGTCCATCTCAAATCACCATGAAAGGGGTGAGCACAAAGCAGTAAGATGGTTTGAAAGTGAGACCATTCATGTAACTTTGTTACAATCGTCTCATAATTGATCTACTGTTATTAGTGTTACTAAATTCTTCTTGTAACTTGTTTATAAACTGTATCATATGTATAAATAACAACAAAATATATACAGAATACTATGCTATGTGCAATTTGGGACATCCATAGGGAGTCTTAAAACATACTCTTTGCAGCTAAGGAGATGCTACTGTATCTTCTTGTTCAAATTAGTAGAATTTAGGCTGACCAGAGGAGCCTTTGAGTCTTTTATTTTGTTTTGTTTTGTTTTGTTTTCTATGTAGCCCTGGCTGTCCTGGAACTCCCTCTGTAGACCAGGTGGCCTCAAAAGCTCAGAGCTCTGCCTGCTTCTGCCTCCTGAGTGCCAGGATTAAAGGCATATTGCCACCATCATCTGCAAAGGCTGAGTCTTAATCTCCAATCACATTTTTATTTCCTTGATTTTTCCAGAAAGCAGACATTCTGAGCTGTATACTGGAAGATGCCTCAATAAGGGACCCAGGGAAGGGTTTCTCTGCTTATGAGGTACACCTAGTAAAGGATGGCACTCTAGGTTGAGGAAAAGTCCTGGATGGAAAGTATCCCCAGTTAGGAGGAATATTCCACCTGCAAGAAGAAATTCTAATTAAGGGCATGTCCTAATTTATGGGGAATATTCTGTTTCAGAAAGATATATTTTCAAGTTTGAGAGGGTACACAAGGGAGATTGCCATTTTGGAAGGATGATCCAACTGCAAGGAAGTGACTTCCTGAATAGAAAGTTTGCTTCCACAAGAGGAGGCTATTCTAACTTGGAGGAATGTACCAGCTGGCAAGCCCTCCACTCCCCACCCCCATCAATAAAACAAATGGATGCTGTGGTTAGGAGGGTATGTCTGGCTGAAACCTGGGCACCAATAAGAAAAGACATTGATTGTGGGTGTTCTCATATGTAAAGATGTTCCTCCAAGTTAGCTTGGAGTGCATCAGTTAAGAGGTGTGCTCACCCTGGTTACCCCAAATTCTACTAGGCACAAGCTTCCTGCGTACAAGGCAAGGCCCTTCTTGCAGACCAAGTCACCTTTACTAGACTGAAAACCTAGTGCCACATGGACTATCTTAGGCCACCCGATCTCCATAAACAATTCTGTCTTTCCCATCTCTGATACATCAATCAAATAAAAAGCAAAAGTGGGGTCTTGTTGACAAAAATTAAGGGAGTCTTGAGTTTGGACAACCAGTCTGGACTCAGTATCACAAGGAGACAGACTCTGAAAAATGGTTCTGCTAAGTTGACCACTATGAGTTCATACATATACAGAGGAGGAAATGGACAGTACCCAGTGAGTATCAAGGATTCTTTAGGACATCTGAGTTGAGGCTATTTATGGAAAACTGAGCCCTTCTGGAGATCATGGGAAACAGTCATTCACAGTCCGCTCTGCAACCATGGCCCAAACAGAGCTGTCTTCCCCAATCTACCTCTCCATCTCACTTTTTTCCTGAGACCTTTTGTTTCAGATAACTGCTGCATAACTTAGCTTGCTTCTTTCCTAGCTTTTGTGCCTTAAACATCACTGCCTCAGAAAAGCCTTCCCTGTTCTGCTCACTTCTCATCTTTTATTCTGGATGTATTTTTCTTTACAGCCTCCTCACTCCATGCTATCCTTATTTATTTTGGGTGTTGCCTTTTGTTTTGTTAGACAGAATCATATAGACCAAGCTGGCTGAAAATTCACAGAGATCTACCTACCTGTGCCTCCAAGTGCTGTAATTAAATGTGTACACCACCATGCCAGGATCCCTGTACTCTTGTATGATATATAGTGTATAGCCATTGTTTTGTGTGTCATAGTGCCCACAATATCCTCTAGCAAATAACAAAACAAAAATCCCAAATATTTAAGTGAAGAGATTGAAACATAGGAGTAAACCTTTTACCAGACAAATAAGATGTGAGTGGCCCAATTTGCAGTTAGCCGCAGTCACACTATAAGTTAGTAACCACTGACTACCTACCTAGCTGCTCCTGCTCTAGGTAGGTGAGGTGTGTTCACATTCACATCAGTTCTGAGAGACCAGACTGCTTTCCATTCCCATTTTCAAAGTGAGTGAATCAAAGTAATGGAGTTGAATGTATGGAGCCAGCCTAAGACAAGGTGGGATTCAAACCCAAGCTTTTCTTTCAACTGTGGGCCCCACCCCTCCCAGAAGGTGTTTAGAGACCTGTGGCCTCCTTTCTGCCTTTCTCCAAGACCCACCTGTCCCACAGTATCAAATGTTAGCCAGGTATGTGGCTATCCAGTGAAAGACCATGTTGCAAGGAGTAGACAATAATGTGTCCCAAAAGACATTGGGGTACAGGCCTAATTGGTTAGGTGTTGTGAAAATTAGCCTCCTAGGGCTCAGGGTGGAAAGCATAATTTGGGGATACTGGCTGAGCACTGCCAGTATTCTTCTCTCTAGTACACCTTATTTCCTAAAAGTCTGTGAGCTTGTTGTTGGTTACACAGGCAAGGTGGCCACCATGGCTAACAAAGCCACTCCTTGCCATCAGAACTGGGACTTAATCAACTCCACAATAACCACTTCCAGTGCAAACATTACATGTAAAGGACAATAAGTCAGTGCTCGTTACAAGACATGTAAAGGAATATGAAAATGACTGCAGGGTGTCTCTGCAATGCTGCTCCAAGGAACCTTTCTTCCAGTCTTGCTCTAAGGACCAAGGTCATAGTTTCAAGGTCTTGTGTGTGCAATGCTCAGAGCTGATAGTAACCTTATGCCCAAGAGTAGAGGTACTGCAAGCAGGTTGCTCTCTCCATGAATATTTCTGGTGGCCAGGCATCCAAGCACACCACCTAGAACAACAGTTTGGAATTCAAGCCAGAGTGTCCCAAGAACACCAGGAATATTCTTAAGCAGACAGTGGGAAAATTAATTAAAAAAAAAAAAAAGGAAAGAAGTAGCTAGCACAGCTCTATCCAGTCACATTTTCAGGGAATGTAGAGGTGGGGTGCCAATGAGATGAGAAGTAGGCTTGAAGTAGAGTCAGGTAGGATTAGGCAGGCAGAGCAACAAGCTCTCAGGTTGCCTCCTGAGGGGTATGGTGAAAGAAGGAGCTCTGGTGGGGGGGAGGGGTCTTTCAGAAGTGGGGGTCAAAGGAGGCGCTTAAGGGGTTGTGTTCTTCAGGGGCAGAGTCTTGTACAGTATGTCCACTTTGAGGCTAGGCTTAGGACGTAAAGACCAGCCACTTGCCCAGCTCTACAAATAAAATGCTTTATTTATAGTCTCTCCAGGTCCCAGATCCCTGCCGCCCTACCCCAGCCTCTCCAGGACTGATTAATTCCAGAGGAGCCAGGAGAGTCTGGTCCACCAGGGGTCGTCCCATCGGCTGCAGGTCCTGAGTAGCTGGGCCAGGCAGAGAGCAAAAGGCACGCGGCCCTGGACATCCAGTCCCAGGGCAAAGGCCAGGCCCACCGAAGAACGTGGTAAGAGTTAGCTCACCAGGGTCAGCTCCCTGGGATCAGGCCAGGGTCTGTACTGGCACCACAGCTCTGCTCATAGGATGGTGGAGCCTCTGTGAAGAGAAAGCAGGATCTACAAGGGGTTCAAGGCATCCTCATTTCCTCCCCCCAGTCCCTGTCATTTCCACTCACCATAGGGGTAGCCCCATGAACTGTACTCTGGGGGAAGGATCAAGGCGCTGGTGGTGGGTACTGGGCCCCCGGAGCCTTCTGCAAAGTATGGGACAGTGGCACCTATAGAGATGCACAAGGGAGGGTGCAGAGAATTTCTAGCAGGGCTTCCAGCCTGAACACAGGGATCAATGGTGGTGACAGACAGAGAACCCAATGGGGTTGACAGTGGCTGTTGCTGAGAATGGCTCTTGGTAGAGAGGGAAACAGGGTCTGAGACGTGGAGGCCACTAGCCACTGCCTCGGCCTCTTCCTGGGGTGGTGCAGAGGGCACAACTGGGGACAAGGCCCCAGGAGAAGACCCTAGGCCTGGACAGGGGCTCAGTGGTGTTTGGTTCACAGCAATATTGCCAACAAAGAGTGGTAGAGTCACAGTGGCTTCAGGTGCCTTCATGGAGACCTGGAAAGAATGCAGGTATTGAGGAGTCAGGCCAAAGTCACCTAGCCTCAGGCCACCCAGCCCTGGGCAACACCAAACCTGTAGGTAATAGTCGATGTGGATAAGGCTGCAGCCAGGCAGGGCTGACTGGGGAAGGGCAGGCACTAGGATCTGTTCTTGCCACTGAGCACGCCTCCAGGCCTTGACACCTGTACCCTCCACTTCTGCAATGGTTCGCACATCATAGATCCAGCGCTTGGCCTTATAGGATACCTTCTAAAGAAAGACCAGACTGTGGAGCTTGGGCAGAGCAGCAACCCACCCCTTCTGTGCCATAGGAAAGGGACAGGCTCAGGGAAGCCAGAGGGCTCTGACCTGTAGCAAGCTGGCCACCACAGGGCTGGTGTCCTTGCCTGACTGATTCTCAATGTCAGCCTGGAGTCGAAGCACCTGTCCCACCACATAGCCACGAAGGTCAGTGCTAGCTGTGAGAATCACACTGCCTGTCTTCACCAGCTTGTAGGAGAACTTCTTGGTAGTGGAGGCCACATTGGGTTGCTTAAAGTGAAAATGAGACGGAGCTTATGAAGTCAATACAGGATGAATTCCTGTGGCATGGGGACAGGCCCTCAGCCTGCAGAGCCTGGCTGCCTGGCCTGAGAAGGTTGAAGTTAACCAAGGAAGCCTCTTTTCCATCCTCACCTCAATGTCTGGGATGCTGTTCAGGTTCAAGGGGCTCAGGATGTAGAACACAAGGCTACATTTGTGATCCTTGGAAAAACGTGGAGTGTCGATAGAGGCCCTCACCTGGTGTACAATCTTCCCAAAGGGTCCCTCAAAAGATGTGGGTGCTGTGGCTATGGAGAGAACAGGGATTGGTTGGCATCTCCCACATGCAGGTCCCACCATCTCAAGGCTATGGTCCGCACAAGCTTTCTACTTACCAGGCAGCAGGAACTGAAAGGGGAAGTTGTGCTCTCCAGCCGGTAGACTTCCTACAGAGACAAGGAGGAGGTGGGAGCAAATCAGAGGAGATCCATAATGGCCACAGTGCCAGATCAGAAGTAGACACTGCAGTCCACCAGTCCACACTACTGTCTCCAGCACTATAACAGTATGACCATAGCAGGAACTAAAGACTACATAAGAAGGGCTTGGTTTAAATGAGGGTGTGTGGCTGGAAATGTAGTTGGTACTGTTTGCCTAGCATACACAAAGCTCTGGTTCAATTCCAAGGACTATATCAACCAGTTAGGGTAGCATACCCCTGGGAGACGGAAGCAGAAGAATCAGAAGTTTAAGGGCATCCTCAAATAAATAACATAGCAAGGTCAAGTTCAGCTTGGGCTACATAAACCCCTGTCTCAAAAACGAATAAATACAAATTTTAAAAATAAAATTAAAAACAGAAGGGTGGTTGAGGGTAGAGGACAGGGATGAAATTGCCATACCAAGGGTCAGAGCCCACCCAGACCCAATACCAGAGAGTAGGATAGAGTGAGAATCCAAGAGACAGTTGTTGGGAGGGAAAGGGATAGATTGACCCCATTCCAAGGGTTGCCCCTATGATCACACCTGGCTCCCACACTCACCCTTGTCAGCCAGTGACAGGGAGCTGTTGAAGTAGCTCTCCTCCACCACCCATGCCCCATCGTTGGCCTTGTTGGAGACCCCACAGGAACCCATGCAGGTCACCCGGATAGCTGTAAGGGGAAGGATGGCATAAGCCTAAGCCAGCTAATGGCCTAGGCTCCTCCCTGTTCCCAGCATAGGAATTCATGTAGGGCTGGAAGTACCTATGGGTCAAGCAGCCTTACCAGTAGAGGTAGCTGTGAAGACCAAAACACAAACAGCCTGTCATCTTCCCAAGAATACCTCCCGGCCATCCCCAATCGTGGTGTTCTCCCAGAGAGCCATGCTGGCAAAGAAATTGATAGGCAGTGTTTCACCTGTCCTACAACCGATAATCTCCTAGATAACCCCTGGGCTCCCCCCAAATTGGTTACCTCAGCCTCTAGCCAGACTTATAGAAAACCAGGCTCCCTTTGTTTTATGATGCAGATCAGTTAGGCTAGGAGGTGCCCCTTTAGTCTCAAGAAAGCTAATGCCAGCTCTCTCCCTGCAGGAATGCAGTCAAACCTGTCTGAGTCAGTCAGCAATCTAGCACTGAAAGGCCAGCCCTGACTTCCTGAGCAGCGGTGCCCAGGAGGCTGACTTTCTACACTATGAAGTAGCTGGTCCTCCCCCACCAGTAGGAACACCCAGAACAGGAACCACTAGAGACAGAGTTCAAATTCCTCTGTCTAACAGACACATCCTGGGCCCACAGTGATCAGATAGCCATAGGTGAATGAGTAGGCACAGCTGAAACTGGTCACAGGGAGAAGGCTCACGCACGGTGGTAGGTAGGTGGGAGCCAATGAGAGGCACCCTAAGTAACACCCTTGTCCCTGTAGGGGTGGGTCATGGTTTCATCCCTTTTCCCAGACTTATCTGACAGGGTCACGGGAGGGTAAGATTACCCAGACTCTTTCATCTTAGTGACAAAGCCACCAAGCAGGAAGAACAAAGATATCGAAGTACTTAGGAGTTGACCATACCTGCCTCACTTATAGTCTCCCACATCATGGTCCAGGCATCTTGCTGGTTACCCACAGAATGCTTAGCTTCCTCTTATAAACTTTTGGCTCATCCTCAACCCATGTAGCTATGCATGTGTGCACTCCCTCACCTGATGGCTGCCAGCACCTGTTTCCACTCTCAAGGTGGTCCTGCATTCCTGCCGCACCACTCTCCGCCCCTTGAAAGTGCCAATGATTGTCCCTCACCCTCCTGTCAGCCCAACCTTATCACTCTAACCTCCAACCTGATCTGAAATTCACACACTTCTTTTGATATAACCTCTGAAGTCAAACTACCAACTAGTCCCACCCTGGAATATGAACATCAGTGGCCTCTGAAAAGTTTCCCAAAAGCATCCCAAAAAGCCTCTCTGACGATGCAGCAATCCAAATCAGACCAAATCAAACCAAATCAGAAAATACCCAAGTTTAATGGGTAAAACACTCCCAGATGATTTTTTGCACCACCAGTCCCTAGAGAGAAGACAGGAGAGACAGAAAAAACCACCTGTTTATGGGGGACATTTAAATACCCTGTGGGAGTGGTCTTGAGCATCTTTGGAGGAGGAGCCCTGTTTGAAGGGTTATCTGGAATGGGGCAGGGTTTGGGGAGAGAGAGAGATGGGGGAAGGATATTGAGGTGGAACTTCCATCAGAACAGCTTCTATAGGCCAGCAAACAGTTCTTGAAATGACAGGTATAAGAGGAAGACCAGAAATCTGCCAGAGGAAACAAGATGCTTCACAAAGGATACACCTCCCTAAGGATGACTGGCTCCACATCAGTACAAAAAGAAGTATGGAGGTCTCAGCTTAGTCCAGATGCTACCACAGTGCTATCAGGATGCCTACAGTGAATGGAATAGCACAGAGCTATTCAAATTCTTCATCCTCAATGAATGAGCAAAAATAAACTGTTACTTTAGCTGTTCAGTGTAGGGGTGGTTTGTTATGATCTTTTTGTCGAAGTAGATAACTGGAACCAATACCCAGTCATACTGGGATCAGGGAAAACCCAGGTGACTTACATGTTTACTCATCAGAATGACAACAATTACATACTTTGACCCATGTTGGGGTGGAGATGGAGGAGTAGACACTCTTTTTTTTTTTTTTTTTTTTTTTTTTTTTTTTGGTTTTTCGAGACAGGGTTTTTCTGTGGCTTTTGGAGACTGTCCTGGAGCTAGCTCTTGTACATCAGGTTAGTCTCGAACTCACAGAGATCTGCCTGCCTCTATCTTCTGAGTACTGGGACTAAAGGCATGAGCCATCACTGCCCAGCTGCAGACACTTCTTATACTGATAAACTTCTTGTGTTTGCACCAATATATGCCAGGACACCCATCAGCTCTCAAGTCCTACACTATTTTCTCAGGAGTCTCTCATGATACTGCTTATAACAGCAACCAAGCATCCAGACTGGACTTCCTACAGTTCAGGCACAGGAACAAGGGATCACCAGAATCTAGAAAAAAAAAGCAGCATCTAAACTGAGAGTAGAGGGGATCAGACTATGATCTTCTCAATGCCAGGTATTTCCCCACACAACAGGGTTCCTCGGAGGACCCTGCCAGTGTGAACACCTTCTAGCCACCAAGGTGAACATACATCCTGTGCAGTTCATGGCTTACAAACAGTATGCCTGCTGCTTCCCCAACAAAACACCTGAGGTTACTCCTTTGTCTCAGTAGGGTCACAATCAAGGTATAAAAATTTCCCCCAGAAAATTCCTCAAAGATCCTAGGTTCACTGGCCAAGGACAGTGCCAGCAGCTAGGTATGTACCTTCTCAAGTCACTGGAGCAGGGAAAACCACATAATACAATTCTGCTTGAGAAGCACTGGGTGCTAGATCCAACTCTATTTCTATTACAGTCTGCACATGTTTGTGATGGTAAGAATAAGAAGGCTGGAGGCAATAACCTGATAAAAGATTCTGATTTCCTGGCTTTTAGTGTTTCTGCTTCCTATCCATTCAGTCCCATGCAAAAGTATCTTCTCTGGGAGGCAATCATGGTCCTCTCCCCAGCTTATATCCTGCAACATAGCCAGGACTTGTTCTAGCAAGTCCTCCACTACAGAGCATCAAGTGGCAGCCTGTGGAACAATATATACTTCAAGGTGTCATCTGAATATAAAAAGCACTTCCTAACAGTGTTCAGAACTATAATAAAAGGCAAGCATTAAACTGACTAGGGACCACCAAACTGGCAGGTGTTCACCACTGGAGACAGGATGCTGATCTGTTTTCTGTCTTTTTCTTTCTTTCTTTCTTTTTTTTTTTTTTTTTTTTTTTTTTTTTTTTTAATTTTTTCAAGACAGGGTGTCCTGGGACTAGCTCTGTAGATTGGGCTGGTCTCAAACTCAAAGATATCCACTTGCTTCTGCCTCTGGGGGTGCTGGAATTAAAGGTGTATGCCACTACCACTCAATGGCAGCTCTGGTTTTCTAAAGAAAATCATGGTGTATATTGTGTTCCACAGAGACTTCTGGAACTTTCTTCCCTCATGGGTGCTTCTACTGTCCAGTAGCTTCCTTCCATGTACCATGATAACTAAGACCAATCTATTCCTCTCCTAGTCCCAAGGATCTTGAACCTGACCACCCCACACACACACCAGCTATCACATTTTATCATTAATTAACTTGGTGCTTGTCCTGCTTTCAATTGTATCACAAGAGTAACAAGAATAGCTACCTCAGGCCAGAGGTGGTAGTGTACGCCTTTAATCCCAGCACTCGGGAGGCAGAGGCAGGCTCGTCTCTGTGAGTTCCAGGACAGCCTGGTCTACGGACTGAGTTCTAGGACTGCTAGAGTTCCAGGGCAGGCTCCAAAGCTACAGAGGAACCCTGTCTTGAAAACCCAAAAAGAATGGCTACCTCTTGGGGTCCTGTGAAGACATAGTTCTGTCCATGAAAAATAGAGAGGGCTGGTGAGAGCTTAGGAATTAAGAGCACTTGTTGCTCTTATAGGAAACTCAGCTTCCATTCTCAGAACACACATGGTGGCTCATAACCATCTTTAACTCCAGTTCAGAGGCATTTGAGGTCATCTTTTGAACTCTAGGGGACACAAGAAAGTGTGCACAGACACATCTGCAGACAAAACATGTACGTATGTAAAATAAAGTGAATAAATCTAATTTAGAAAAGAAAGAAAAACATATAGGGAGACCTAGGAGTGGATCACACATGCAATCCCAACACTCAAAAGCCTAAGTCAGGAGGATTACAAGTTTGAGGTCAGTCTGAGCAGCACAGAAAGATGTGCCTAAAAAAAAAAAAAAAAAAAAAAAAGCTGGGTGGTGGTTGCACACACCTTTAGTCCCAGCACTCCGGAGGCAGAGGCAGGCAGATCTCTCTGAGTTCGAGACTAGCCAGGTCTACAAGAGCTAGTTCCAGGACAGCCTCCAAAGCCACAGAGAAACCCTGTCTCAGAAAAACCAAATAAAATAAAATAATAATAATAATTTTAAAAGAACAAAAAAGAGGGCTGGGCTGGGAATCAGCTCAGTGATGATCCTTGCAAGAGGCTCTGAATTAAATTTCCAGAACCTGAAAAGACTCAGAAAAGGAAAAACAAGTAGAAAGATCTCCATCTGATCCAGAATGGGGGTATAATGAGCCATAAGAGAGAAACACAGTAGGTCCTGCTGCTGCTCTCCAGTCTCTAGAACATTACTCATTCCTCATCTCTGAAGCAGCTAATACCCTTGTGGATGGGTGCCAATCACTGTCAATCATTAGACAAGTATCCAATGAACAAGACTAAAAACCCCATAGTAATATTCTTTTGAGAATATGGGGTGTCTTCTCTACTGGGCCTAGCAGAAACTCAACAAGTGTTCTTGAATGAAGGAAAATAAAAGAACCATGGTAATTTCCATCCCAAGCAGGACTGGAGGAAGTTCCAGAGTGGCTTCTAACACACACACACACACACACACACACACCACAGACACACACAGAGACACACTCAACTGCCAGCAACCTAAACAATCCACCCTCCAGCCCCAGCCCATGACCCAGGGCACTTTTACAGTTGGGACCATTAGCCAGCACTCTCTTGGCTTTTGTAAGGTAAGCTGCCCATTTATTCACTCCTTATCCTACACAAAAAGGCCATTTGATAGATAGTTGGTAATAACCTGTTCACCCCAAGCTCAGCCAGGGGAGAATGATAGAAAAGAAAAACTGAGTGGCTAGTTCTAAATAGGTCCTGTCTTCTCCCTGTTGTATTCCACAAGCCCACAAGTCTGTGGCCTGCACCATGTCTCCTCAGCCAATATGCAGTTTTCTTTACACTTCCCATACCTCTTTTTTGGGTCCAGGAGGAACTGATCTATCACAGCTGGAGCCTCTACAAAAGCAACATCTATTCTCACCCAGACCACAAACTCTAAAGAGGGATACACCAAAGGAAGGCAATGTGATCATGACCAGGAGCCTCAACAAGATGAGGGCCTGACATTACAGCTCCCTTCTAGACCTAGATAACACCAGGTCTAGGTCAGGTCTGATGTTTCAACTGGGCCTGGGATGGCTACGGAGGATGTGGGCAACTGTGGTTTTGGTCAAGCAGTTAGGTAGTTCTCACAGGAGGCAAAAATAAAAGAATATCAAGCAGGGACACCCATACAGTTTTTGCATTCAGTGCCAGCGGCAAGGCAGAGGCCACAACAGTGCCCACTTGACCCTAAGAGCTCAGTTATCAAATCCACACAGGGATCCAGTACTGAGGAGGCTGCACCTGAGAGTCCTGTCAATGACAAAAGAGTAACCTGATCCCCAGCCCAAGTCTCAGACAAATGCATCAGCAAGGGGCTGAGCCCAGCTCTGCTCCAGGGCCTTAGGACAGGTATGGGGGAATTGCCAGGAAAAACAAGGCCCCTTGCCAGCAAACACAAATTTTAAGGAAGTCATAAGCTTTAAAGTGAAAGCAAAAAAGGTACTCTGTGGATCCTGCTGGGGACCTGCACACTAGGACCAGGACAGACTTTGAAGAGGAAGATACTGCATAGAAGCCTGGAGGAGAGGAGAATATAAGACCAAGCGCATACTAGGTTCCAGGTGGGGGTCCAGCAGGTGCAGAATGAAGCGAACCTTGGACACCTGAACAAGAGAAGACTGGAGGCCTTCATACTTCTACCTCCAGGGTCGCCTGGGCATAGTGAACAAGCGCTTAGGCCCTCACAGACTCTGGCCTCCGCACTGGATGGGACAGATGCGGAAGGACTGGGCCACCGAGCTGCCAGCCCCGCCCTAGCCTACCAGCACAGCCGGACCCTGGCGCCCGCGGTTCCGTCGTAATCCGGGGCTCCCTGGAGACTGAGAACACAGTCTCAGAGCCCACTGACTTCGCGAATTTGGAGAGCCCCGCCTCCACCGCAGGTGAGAACGCGTCTACCCGTTCCCCCGAGGCGACCCCGCGCCCACCTCGAAAGGGCAGTGGCGCTCCCAGGCGCACGCGCACGGCCCCAGCCAGCGGCTCTCCAGGACTGTAGACGACGCGACCCTGCCTCAGGCGAATCTCGAAGAGCTGCACCCTCCCCATCCCGCGGTGTCCCGCGCCGCGGTCTGACGCCTGCTAGGGCTAAGGCTTCCAGGCCCGCCCCGCCCCCTTCCCCGACAGAGGACACGCCCAGGCTGTAGGACGCTCCGCCTGGGCCGGAGAACTAGCCGGCGCCCCAAGACCCACCCTTTACCCAAGGACCCGCCCCCTTCCAAAGGCCCGCCTTCCCCAGGGCTGGTCCCAGACTACAGGACACGCACACGGGTGAGGACACGCCCCACAGGACCCGCCCCTTTCCCTAGACTTGCTGCCCTTGAACCTGCTCACACCTGCTCACAACAGCTCAGTGCTGGTCCCACTGCTCCCAGACCAGCAGCATTGGCTACCAAATGTGACGGCCCACGCGCTTTGGGCTTAGACCGTCTCCGGATTCTTGCGACCTGTGCCGCTCAGGGTTGAGGCCTGCTCACCTGTCGGCGAGAGAAGGTCTCCTGGCACCCTTTTCGACGCTAGAAGGTCACCAGGGGTGCTCGGTGTTCAGGCAGTATTGGTCCCCAGGTATGGTCAGCGGCATTCGTGCCTTGTGCACTGCACCCCGCACCGTGTTTGCTGGAGTGTGAGTAGAGGCTCAGAAAACAGGTGCTGAACAGCACAGACATGGAGCAGAAGGCGCTCAGGGCAGAAGCAAGAGACCCCTTGCCGGGCTTGGGGCGTGGAGCGAGTGAGGCTGCATAGACATAGGACTTTCTTTTTCCTTTTGATTACTAAATCACATTTTATTTTAAAAGGTCTTGGTGTTGGTTGTGAACTGGGGAAAGGGTTTTAAATTCATATGTTCACAACAGTAAATTCTATTAAGCCAATTTAAGCAATCCCGTTTTTCAGTTTGGTACTGAAAATAAATTATATGAGCTGTGGCTCAGTGGTACAGCACTTGCCTGGCTCAAGCAAGGCTCTAGTCCCCTAAACTACAAACATACATATAGCACTTTGTATTGGATAGTGGATTCCCCATTGTAGACTGATGTGAGCGTCCAGGGGCTATTTTTAATGTGGGGCTAATATCGTAAGTGCAATAAATGCATTCTCAACTTAAGGTATTTTCTACTTTTCACTTTGTGATAGGTTTATCATAATGTAATTAACCCCTTCAGAAATCCAGGAGATTACATACAGAGGAGAGCAGGGCAATGATGGCAGGGCCACCTTGGATTTGTCTAGGACAAACTGATAGGTGGCCCAGAAATGCATCTGGGGCCCTGCTGACTGGTTAAATATAAGAATAGTGAAGGGAGTGACAATTACCGAACAGTTGGCAAAGAGAGTGACATCTACCACTGGGGAAGATTCCTGGATGCAAACCATTTTGTGGGCAGGAGCTATGACATGCAAAAGCCAGGTTGGCGGTGGGGTGGGAAACGGGACCTTATTCTAGACCTCCTTAAGTAGCTAAAACCTTTATTCTGATCCCAGTCAATACATATCCTTCTGGGATCCATTTAAGCATAACTGCCTTCAGTCTCTTCTTTATTTCCATAAGGATCCTTTCAAATTTAGATGTTTCCTTATATAATTGCTGTATCACTGGACAGGATGGGTCCTGGCTGCCATTTGTAACTTCCAGCTTTAACTCTCATGATCTGAAATATTGACCCACTTCCCTTGTTCCTTCTTCTGGAACCTGGCTAGCCCTCTCATTTCCTGGTGATTCTGTCCCTAACTCAACATCATTCTATGAGATTTCATTCTTGGTGAGGCACTCTTATTGGCTTCAGTCAGGTGAAAGGATCCCCCTTCAGACCCCCAGACATTTGTGCTTTGGTATCTATGGTTCCTAAGAGACAGTACCACTACAGAACCACAGGGAAAGTACAAGAACTTATCAGGAGTGTCAAAGTGTTTTTCACATAGAAAAAGAATGATCAGGTCAAGAAAGGCAAAGTAGAGCAAGTTTAAGACTCGATGGGCGTGACTTTTAATCTTTATAGTCAGCTTGGCTCCATTTGGAATCAATTGAAAGGCAAACTGCTAGTCACTCCTGTAAGGGAATTTCTTGATCAGATTTGAAGTGTAATGATTTAACCTAAATGTGACATCTTCTGGTGGCAGCCCAGACAAAAAGACACAGAAGGAAAACTTCTTGCCAGCTTGTCTTTACCCTTGCTAGAAGTTCATTTGTCTGTCATTGCTGCATTATATCACTGACACATTAGAACCCAGGCTACCAATGCAGACTGAAGACCAGCAGATTCTTCAGGAAACTTCCAGGCCTTCAGCATTAGATTGGGACTCCTGAGACATCCAGCTTTTTGAACTGAGCAATTACTGAACTTTTTGCCTCACCAGTGTGGGACAGCCATTGTGAGGTTATTCCGATTATATCACATAAAACAATGTAAATACACACATATACACATTTTGAGGGAGGCCATTCTCACTGTGTAGACCTGTCTGGCCTAGAACTTCCTATACAGAACTGCCTCTGCCTGCCAAGTGCTGGGATTAAAGACATATGCACTATCATATCTCCATACCCCTATATATTTTAAAGATTGGTCATTGTGTTTTTGGTTTTTTGTTTGTTTGGCTTTTTCTGTTGTTGTTTTGTTTTTCAAGACAGAGTTGCTCTGTATTGCTTTGGAGCCTGTCCTGACACTCATTCTGTAGCCCAGGCTTGCCTCAGACTCACAAAGATCCTCCTGCTTCTGCCTCCTGAATGCTGGGACTAAAGGTGTATGCCACTACTGCCCTGCTTGGTTTTTGTTTTTGACACAGGGCTTCTCTATATAGCCCTGGCTGTCCTGGAACTCTCTGTAGACCAGGCTAGCCTTGCCTTGAACTCAGAGATCTTGCTTGACTCTGCCTCCCAAGTACTGAGATTAAAGGCATATTCTACCATATATTTTTGTTTGTGAGTATGTGCATATGGGAGGTGCCCATGGAGGCCACAAGTTGTTGGGTCCACTGGAACTGCAATTATAGACTATTGAACTGCCTTGTAGGTGCTAGGAACCAAACCCAGGATCTCCGAAAAAGCTGCAAGGTTTTTTTTTTTTTTTTTTTTTTTTTTTTTTTTTTTTTTTTTGGAGACAGGGTTTCTCTGTCTAGAACTCAGAGATTTGCCTGACTCTGCCTCCCGAGTGCTGGGACTAAAGGCGTCCACCACCAATGCCTGGTGCAGCAAGTGTTCTTAATCACTGAGGCATTTCTCTACCTCACCCATTTTTTAAGATTTTATTTATTTATAATTATGTATGTTTGTCTGTATATATGTATGGGCCAAAAGAGGGTGTCCAATTCCCTGGAGCTAGTTGTGAGTGTAACAAGGGTGCTAGGAACCAAATGTGGGTCCTCTCTAAGAGCAGCAAGTTCTCTGAACCACTAAGCCATTTTCTAGACCATGTTTGCTTTTTGAGTCAGAGTCTTGTTTTGTAGCCTAGCCTGGCCTAAAATCAAAATCCCTCTCAGGACTGGAGAGATGGCTCAGAGGTTAAAAGCACTGGCTGTTCTTCCAAAGGTCTAGAGTTCAATTCTCAGCAACTATATGGTGGCTCACAACCATCTGTGATGAGATCTGGTGCCATCTTCTGGCTTGCAGGGATACTTGCAGGCAGAACACTGTATGCATAATAAATAAATAAAATAAAAATAAAAATCAACACCCTTTCCTCAACCTCCCCAGAAGATGTGGGATCTGTTTCTTTGCATCAAATCTGGGTTGGCACAGTGACTTGTTTTAACAGGCAGAATTGCAACAAACAAAATATCATGTCAGTTCCAGGTTGAGCTTGATAAACTCTAAGCTACCAGATAAAAATATCTAATTACCCCATGGAGAGGTCTTGAGAATGCCCAGACAGGAGTGGAGCCATATGAAGCTTCCAAGATACCCAGGCTGAGTGCAGGGTGTAGAACTTGGCTATTTCAGCATCTGTTGTTAAATGACCAGCCATGCCAATTTATTATGCATTTGGAAAACTGGGCTAGTCTCAGACAGGAGGCTCTTGTACACTGGATGATATTTGGTAAGGATGGGATGACCAAGATATTTATGGCACTCATACATCTGCCACTTTTTTTTTTTTTTTTAAAGATTCATTTACTATGTATAGTGTTCAGTCTGCATGCATCCCTGTAGGCCAGAAGAGGGCACCAGATCTCATTATGGATGGTTGTGAGACATCATGTGGTTGCTGGAAACTGAACTCAGAACCTTTAGAAGAGCAGCCAGTGATCTTAACCTCTGAGCCATCTCTCCAGCCTACATCTGCTACTTTTTCGGGGCTTATCAGAGGTCTCCTTTGCAGCCTCTTTTTGCTGTGGGGTTCACTAGAGAAGACTGCTCAGACACATGTTTAAGCCAGTAGAAAATTTTATTACTTGGCTGGTGACTGCACTGGGTGTTCAGGATCCCAGTATAGACGAGTCTTTCTCGGGGTGAGCTTTTAAGTACAAAAACCATATTCTGGTTGACATACTTCAGTTAACAAGAACAGTTAGCCAGAATCAGAACCACAGAAACCAAAAAGCAACTATTTGATGGGAGATGTCATTCTGTAAATATGTTTCTCATACTAGCTAATGAATAAAGTGCTGTTGGCCAATAGGAAAGCAAGATAGGCGGGACTAGGAGACAAGGAGGAAAGAGGAAGGAGTAAGGAAGGTCAAGATGGAGGGTCTGGAGAGAACAGAACCGCTGCCCCCCCCCCCCGCTCTCTGGTAAGAAGACCACGTGGAAATACGTAGATTAACAGAAATGGTTAATACTTAAGACAGAGCTAGCCGATAAGAAACAAGTAATTGGCCAACAGAATTATATCTAATACAGAGTCTCAGTGTGTTAATTGGGGCTGGCACGGCAGCGGGACAAGACCAGCAGCAACGGTGGGAGGAAAAACAGTACTCCTTACAACTATGGATTCTGATGGATTATGTCTTTGTTTTCATTTTTGGCAGGCTATGTGCTGAGTTTTATGGCTTATGGCCTGAATGGTACTACCATCAAGGAGTCAGTTTTGTTAAGGTCTGGGACCATGTTACATCTTTATGGCTAGCTTGTGGATCTACAATAGTACACCAGTCTAATGATAGTACAAATAATTATCACAAG